TGTACTCTTTGTCCATGAACTCCAAAACGAATTTCAAATTTTCATTGCCACAGGGCAGTTTTCCACTTCACTCCATCCATGTTGAAGAAGTTCAAGCCTGGAAAGGGAAATGCTATTTCTGGAATCTTCTCTCAGTATTTTATACGTATATTCTACGCACAGTAGTCTCAATGCATGCTTGATCATCCAAGTAAGTAAATCCAAAAAGTTGACTCTGTTGATATGGATGTTTTTAATGATGGTCACATATTCGGTCACATTCTCTGAGTCTTTTATCGATATTTTATACTTCAGGTGATAAAATCACCTAATTCTTTGCAGGTTTGCCGCTTTTTATAGTCTTTTTTTGGGCCCTGTCTTTTTAAAAGTGTTATTGAAGTAAAATTTAAAATGCATATGTATTTTTATTTATATTTTACTCAGCATACCATTTTTTGTTTTTTGTTTTTGGAAATGGTTGTACAGCACAGACAAATCCAATATGCGTGCTCTCAGGTGGAGCTATTATCCAGCACTGAATTATTTCATATTGCTGCTGTTGTTGTGTGCATTGTTGGTGGGCAGAGGTTAACAAAAGGCCAAGACAAATCCAAGCCACCGGCGCTGGCCGCATGGGGAAATGTTGGCAAGCGAGCCAGAGAATAATCATAGGCTAATCTGATTTCCAGCTCTGATAATGGAGGCCAGGCTAAATAAGAAAAATTCCAGGCAAATTTGTGCAAATGAAAAAGGATTCCTCCTGACATAATGGTATGGTGCAAGGCAGCCTCTAATGAGCAATAATCTGTCTAAGAGCTTCTCTCTCTCTACTGCCTGGTTTCTCCCTCCATCTTCTATCTCATCCTGTCTCACCTCCTCCCACCTTCCCCCTAGTTCTCCAGCTCTCATCAGCTTTTTCCCTATTCTTGGGAAGGTGCATGTAACAGCTGTGTGACACAGATAAGGAAGAAAGAGGAGGGAGTGAGGCTGTATTTATTGAGAGTATATCATGAGCATGCCTTTGTAAATGTTCAATAATCCAGGTAAGAACGTATTTGCGGTGGAAAAGTTTCATCCAAATGAACTAAATTAAATTTCTTGGGTATCTCAGTATCACATACAAACCAAGAATTTCCTTCGTGACAAATATCAAATGTTTATAATTCATTTATTCAACAATACTGGTATTTATTCATATAAAAGTCTGTTGAAAAGGTTCACACAACATATCCATGGCACATGATTTTCTTTTATCGTTTATTTTTATATGTTTATGTCACAGTTTTTGCAGGAAATTGCCATGTGTTTGTTCTTCTTACCATTAGGTCACGGAAGTAAGTAGCTTTTCAAAACAAAAAACAAACAAACAAAAAAAAAACCCCAAAAAAGGCATCCTCTAGCAACCCAATATGCTGTTTAAATGTTTTAAATGTC